CATTTATGTATTCCTTTATTTGATAATAATAAAGAGTTAGAGGATAGACCTCATTGTATAAAAAAAAAAAAAAAAAAAAAGTATATAAAAATATATATTATTTATTAATTCAATTTAGTGACCATATTTATATCATCATTAGAATATCTAACAATGTCAATGGTTATCTCTCTCTATTATGAATTACTTGAAATGCTTAAAGAAGCTAGACAAAAAAGCAATATTCCTGAATGGCTAAAAAAAGGGTGTGAAGATGCAGCTAATAAACTTTTAGAGTATTGCTCAAAGACAAATGTTTTGTATATTTCAGCAGTTGTACTAGATCTATAGCTTAAAATATAATATTTTGAAAAACTTAAATAGTTGCCTCAACTTGTTATTTAAATTAGAAATATGTGAGTATTTATATTTATAGTTTGTAATTCAAAAAATGTAATTAGTACTTTGGATATTCTTTATTAAATATAGATATATTTATTGAATATATAAGTACTTCTAAGGGAATCTAGCTTTAGGCTTATAAATTAATAGACTTAGTATTCTGAAAAATCTAATTAGTGATATACATAATATATAGTTAATTAATAAATTATTTATTAGATTTTTCAGGGACTAAGTCTATTAAATTATAAACTTGAAAGTTCAAGTCAGTTTTTTTTTAGCAGTAATTATATACAACTAAGTAATAAGGTTCTAATGTCTATTTCTTTTAGTATTCTGATTATAGTCTTTTTTCACATAGAGTTTTTTATGATACTTTGTTATAAATATCTTTAAGATAGTTGTTTATATGGAAAGAGTAGCTGCTGATCATAAAAAAGATAAAGAATTACTTGCAGATTCAGAATGGGTTTACCAAATAACTTTATTAGTAGAGAAAATAGGTCATGCTTGCTATTTAGTCAAAAAAACCTGAAAATAAAAATACTAATTTTCTTTATCCTATAAAAAAGATTGTATAAAATTTGTTTAAAATTTGTATTATGCATATAAAAAATATCTAAAAAAGTGCTATTTTGTCTAATTTTTGTTTTATTTTAATTAAAACAAAAGTTAGATAAAAATTTAACAGAATAGTGCTTTTTTAAACATTATTTACACATGCAATACAGATTTTAGACAAATTTTATATAATTTTTTTTTATAGGGTTATAAAGTTAATTTTATTAGTTGCAAGTTAAATTCACATTTTGCATAATATTTTTTAATAAAATTATAATAATAATTATTTCAGTTAATTGTAATAATTGAGTAACAACTTGATCTTAGCAATTACATTGAGAGAATTGCATGAAAACAACTACTTTTAGATGATTTAGTTAAAATTTATAATGCAAAAATATACTTATGTAGACTTTTACAATGGCAATATTTTGTAAGTATATCTTATATCTAGGATTATTTAAAAAGGATAATAAAATGTTTTAGATAAATTATGAAGTCATGTCTTTTGTTACACTAAAGTTTATTAAAAGTTTGTACTAACTACTGATATTTATAGCTTTAGAGCTATTAGTTCAGAGATATCAACAGAATGAATTTAGATTAAAATCCTAAAAGTAAAATCCTGAAAATTTAATTGTTACTTTATATAATACAATATTCAAAGTCTACTGATATTTAGTAATTATGATTACTAATTATCATAGCTTTAAATATTGTATTATATAAAGTAATAATTAAATTTTCAGAATTATAATAGTTATAATTTATTTGATCATCAAATACTCTGTAGCATAACGGTGCTAGGTAGCTGAAGGAAAATTTGGGATTTTGCAACAAGAGAAGCCTCCACTTTACATAACAAAAAAGACAAGGGCAGAAGCCCTTGTGCCAAAGAAATGAAGAACAAAGATGTCAGAAAAACCAAAGAATGAAGGAAAACGAGTTAAAGTGTACGACACTAGATCTAAATCTAAAAATAAGGAAAACGAAGAGCCAAATCCAATGACTAACCAAAAAGACACAGTGAAGCAGGTGCATGGCTCAAATAGAGTTGTAAATGAAGCACCAGAACCCAACATGAGCTGGGCCGAAGAAACAGAAAATACATACGAGAAGGGGGAGTTGCCCCTCCAAGAAAACCCAGTTCAAAATACAACTATACCCTCAAACGAAAAATCGGAAAATTCAATAGCCATGATGAGAGAAAGTTCCAGAACAAATAAAGATGCTTTGACAGATAAAGCTGAATCAGATGACTCGAGCGTATCTGCAGAAACAGATTTAGAAACCATGTAACTTAGAGATAAAACAAATAATAGTTATCAAGAAAAGAAGGACACAGTAAGACAATGGTCTAGCCTATTTACCAAAATGCAAAAAGAACAGGCCACTTATGTAAAGGCAGCAGCACCTAGGAAAGAAATTAAGATGAAAAATAATAACGCATTGATATTAAACATTAAAAGCTTAATAAATATCCTATTGAATGAGATTATAGTTGCCCTATATGAACAAATAGGAGATAAACTCGTTGTGGCTAAATCCTATTTCATAAAAGGACAACGCTCAGATTTAGAAATCATTTTTAAAAATGAAGAAAGTGTAAAGGAGTATGCCACAGAGGGCATTACTATTTTTAGACAAACACTTATAGGATATATACCTACCAATCTACGAAGAATAGTCCTTTCGATAAGATTACGAAACATTCCCATGGGAGGAAAAGATATGATCTCTGAACACATCAAAGAAGCGATAGAGGACTTCAGCACTATTGTGTCGATTAAACCCCTATTATATGAGAGAATCCCAGTTTTATCAAATTAATGGATAGTAGTATATGACAATACAAATGAAGATGTGGAAGGAAATTTACCACACCATACACATATTTGGGATAAGAAAGTCATGATCGAATAGAAATCAGCCCCAAAGGTTTGTTTTTATTGCGATCTCGAGAGCCACATAAAAACGGAATGCCCACAGCTCAAAGAGTCAACAGAACTAAGAAAACAGTATAGAGAATACAAACGTAACCAAAAGAGAAATAAAAAGGAGGATGACATATGCGACACAACAATGCAAACACGTGAAAGCCATAATAGAGAAGTAAAACAAACAGAAAAAAGACAAATTCTTACTTCGGGAATAACAGTTAACGAGGAGGTAGCAGAAATTTTACTGGCGAAAGAAGTTGAAACCACAGAAAGCACTTCATGTGAGAGTTTAATTCAGGATGAAGACCAAAATGTAGATAAAAACCAAAATATGGATGAGGATTAAGATATGTATGATGAACAAAGAAACACAATACAATATAATCAAAATGAAATGCAAAAAGTCATGGAAATCTTACCTGACAATTAAACAGGGGGTTGGAAAAGGACAACTCTGTTAGATGAAGAAGAAGGGTTCATAGTAGTGACCAAAAAAAAGAGAAATATGAAATCACCGTCAAAGATAGACACATATCACAATCTGTATAAGAAAGAAAAGAACAGTAGAGGTGATTACACCTCCAGGCTTAGGCAAGATTAAGAAGGATAGATACTTTCCCTATACACTCCTTTAATATGAATAGAAAAAAATTCACTATAGCTATGTTAAATATTAAAGAACTCAACAACTAATATAAGTATATAAAAACACTTACACTGTTAAAGTCATACAATATAGATGTAATCATGATTCAAGAGACAAACCTAAAAAATGAAAAAACACGAGAATTTATCAAACAGCAATAGGCGTATGAATTTTTTTGAACGACAAAGACAGCAATACTGGCTGGAAATAAAGGTGTTGAATTTAAAGATATGAAAAAAAGTTATGAAGGAAGAGTGATCAATGGAATCATAAGAATTAAACAACATACCTGTAAGGTAACTAATGTATATGCTCCACTACACATGTCAGAAAGAAGCAGTTTCTTCAATAGCTAGAAACCAGAGATTGATGATAACATGATGAATATCGTCGCAGGCGATTTTAACGTGAACACTGACCCTCATAGGAATAGAATTAGTCAAGCCCTGGTTCACTATGACCTCTCTATGGCCAAACTTACATAGCTTATGGAAAGTTATGCAGACATAGCTAACAGTTCCTATCAACTGTTTACAACCTTTATACAAAGAATGAGAGGAAATCAAATAATAGCCACTAGGTTAGATTATATATTTGTTGACAGTGAACATATACAGTTCTGCCAGAACATTCAAACACTATATATAAATTCAGACCACTCGTTGGTCAAATGTATATTTAACCTCCAGCCTGAAGTGGGGCACTCTGCATACTGGAAAGTCGATATAAAATGCCTAAAGAATAACATGATTAGGAAAAATATAGAGGAAGAGCTGAATAAAGATGTATCAGTAGACATGTGGGATATATGTAAGGGCAAATTCAGGTAGCAATTAGACAGTACAAACCACCTCCAGCACCTGAAAAGAAAATAGGTAAACTCTGGGAAAAAATAGTCAAATTACAAAAACAAGTAATGCAATATTCTAAAAGGGAAGAGTTAAATGTGGTAATAGAGAGACTTCAAGCAGATCTGCAAGAGGAACTCACAGATCTCACAGAAAAATGGCAGATTCGGTCAAATGCCCGATGGGTTGAAGAAGGAGAACGATCAACCAAATATTTTTTTGCAAGATATAAAGCTAGGCATACTATGAGCTTCATAACAAAAGTGCATACCCCAAACAATACAGGAGAATCAACCCCGAGGGACATTCTATATCATGCTAAAGAAATGTATGCACAGTTATATAAGGCAGAAAAAGTAGATGCAGAGGCAATAGCCGAGATTACCAGAGGTCTGCTAAAGGTCTCTAAAGAGCAAAACATTAGTTTAATCAAAAAAATAACAAAGGAAGAAATCAAAAATGTTATAAGAGATCTCCTAAATAATAAAGTACCCAGAATGAATAGCCTATCATATGAGTTCTATAAAAATATGAAAGAGACAATCGTGCCTATATTAGAAGGTCTGTTTAATGCAATGCTAATCGATGAAAAACTTCCAAAGTCATAGTACAAAAGTGTTATTATGTTAATCCCAAAAAAATCAAAAGCACTAAAAGAGATAGGTAATTGGCGGCCTATTTCATTAATGAATTGCGACTATAAAATTTTTACAAAAATTATAGTGAACAGAACTAGAGAAATATGCCAAACGATCATAGGAATACACCAACAAGGTTTCGTACCAAATAGGTCAATTATGAATGCAGTTTTGAACATTCTTACCACCTTAAGAAATCAAACTGATCAGTTCAAATAATACTGGATGATATTTATCGATCAGCAAAAGGCCTTTGATAGAGTTAGCCATATATATCTGATGGAGACTTTGAAAAAAATGCACTTTGCACTAGCATTTGTCAATATAGTCCAAACTTTGTTTGCAGGCCAAGTAGCTTATATTACAGATTCCAGAATGCTCTCTGAGCTATTTAGAGTAGAAAGAGGGGTAAGACAAGGAGATCCCCTTTCTCCACTCCTATACGTAATTGCTTTCGAGCCGTTTCTACAAAAAATAACGAACAGTCTTCAAAGTATTAAAGTGGGAAATGAATATTTTAAAACTGTGGCATATGCCGATGATCTAACAGTAGGAATCAGCTCACCTACAGAATGGAACCTTTTTCAACAAATAACTAAAATATATGAATTCACTTCAAATGCTAAAGTCAACATGAGTAAGTCCATTATAATACCTTTAACAACGAACGCTAGACATATAGAACTAGAGAGAGAGAACAATTTCAAACAAATAAAGGAGAATGAATCCATAACAGTGTTAGACTATAAGATGACACCGCAAGAAACTATAGATAAACATCTGTAGCGAGATGCTATACAGAAAACTAAAAAACAGATCGAGAAGTTAGCAATGCGTAACCTTTCGCTTAAGAGGAAAGTCTTATTAGCAAAATTACTGGTGATTTCAAAAATATAATATGCAGCTTATCTAGCCCTGCCAACTAGAAAACAACTTGCTATAATTAATAATATGCTAAACAAGTAGATCAGGACAAAATCCAAAATGCTTCCAAGATATACTATCTTCCAGCTACCAATAACGCAAGGAGGACTGAATGCCTTAGTTCTGCCTGATATGATAGACGTACAGCTAATATCAATTTGGATAAAGCTAATAACAGAGAACAATCTTTAGGCCAGAACAGAAAGGTTAATAATCGAAAAGACGTTAATGACAAAAAAAGCTATTACAGTTAAAACTGCTCTCAATAGAAAGCTGGTTAAAATGAAAGGATGGCCAGAACACTGGAAACCTTATGTGATGGCATGGAAACATGCAAATGGCAAAGTTAAAGACGAGGTAGAAAACTGGCCCTGAAAGAAGGAGGATATAACCATTGCAAATAAAATAGAGAAAGAGTTTTCGGTTGCGAATACAGTTAAGTTTTTGAGAAATGAAGCGATCTGGAATCAGAATCAGTTATTAAATAACACAATAGAGAATAATTGGAAGTGGATGAATAATAAACGAGCCCAAAATGTTAAAAAAGACATATACTGGCGCCTTCAACACAAAGCCCTCCTGTTAGGCTACAGAATTAGACACATCAATTAAGAAGATTCCGGAGAATGCCCGAATTGCCCTAATATAATTCAAACATCAGAACACTTTGCACTAGAGTGCTCGATAAGCCAAAGAATATGAGAAATAGCAATGGAAATGGTTGCCCCATCGGCTAATTTGAAAATACCTGGTAGGTTACTTGATTTGTTTACAGATCAGTACAAAGGCAATAGCCAATTGAGAAATTAGATAAATATTAATACCATATATGAAATATGGTACTGGTACACACAATCAAAATGGGTAACCCATTTCGGGACCCATGCTGGGATAGGTGGTTAAACATAGACTTAGTAAAGCGAGTAAAGTGCTAAAATTTTCTGACAGAAAAAATAGCAACAATAAAGATAAAATAGCAAAAAATTTATTATAATATAATTGTACATAATAAATAATTAATTAAAACTTAATAAAGAACACTACCGGCATCCTGGAAATTCCAGGTTAAAATCGAAAAAAAAAAAAAAAATTCAGAATTTTACTTTAAGAATTTTGATCTAAACCCTAACAAGACAAAAGTTTTTTGATAGTTATCAATTTGATAATGATCTTGCAATAAAGATTTGTTTTAGATTATGATCTATATTTGCTTCTAATACTTTTAATACTATATTGAATTAGCTAAACACTATATAGAATCTGATTTACAAAAATGATCTAATAATAAATTGTTAATATAAACTTAATAAATTGAATAAATCTGATTCTTAGAGCAAAATAAATAATTTTAAGAAACAATTAATTAAAAAAGTGATAATTAGAAAGCAGATATTAGAATAATAAAAATTTTTTATAACATATAATATCTATTAATCAGATCACTTAAAATAGATGAACAAAAATTGCAAATAATATTTATTTATTATTATAATTTATTAATGAATCTTAATCAGTTTACTTCTAAGCTAATAATAAATATATTAATTTATATATTTTAAAGTGTTAAAGACAAATATGAAATGCAATATGCATCTATTTCTACTCCAAAAATAGTAAACACTACTCTAGAGCTATTTATGAATATAATATCATAAATCTACAAACACTAATGCATAGAATAACAAAGTGAATTTGATTTATATTTAATAACACCATTTGTGAATGAGCATACTGATATTTTAGAATAGTAGTAAATTAATGAAACAAGCTATCTGAATCTTGCAAAATTTGCTAGAGATATTCTTCTGATACCTGCAACAAGTGTCCCAAGTGAGCAAGCATTTAGTATTAGTAGTGATATAATAACTAATAAATGAAATCACTTAGATAGAAAAACTGTGCAAGCAGCAATATGCTTGAGATTATAGTGGAGAGAATTAGGTTAAAGTTTATGTATATAATATTTTAATTTTGTAATAAATTAGTATATAATTTTTTTTCAATTAGTAAAACACAATATTAAATAGCAATTTGAATAATATAAATAAATTATCTAATTTATATTAGTATTAAATTTAATATATAAAAGTCTTCACTATTCTAGTTTAAAAAAAATATTCAATAAAGCTTATAAAGTTTAAATCAGTTTATTTTCTTATGATAAAATAGGTTTAATAATAAAAAAAAACTTTAGATTCAAGTAGAGTTGTCTGCTGTAATTAATTCTAACAATTATGACATATGGGTTATAATATTATGATATATAGATTGCAATATTACAACATGTTAA